TTTTTTTTTTTTTTTTGAGATGGAGGTCTTGCTATGTTGCCCAGGATTGATTCGAACTCCTGGGCTCAAGCGATCCTCTGGCTTCAGCCTCCAGAGTAGCTGGGACTAAATGACTAAAGGCACAGGCCTTTCTCTCTATTAAGATTTGATTACACCCTCTCAAGTTCACTCCATGTAGCTGGGGGAGCACCATTCTTTGACTCGGTGCATGTGTTTTTCACTGGTCACCCACTTTTAAAGTGTTTTAGATTAAATTTGTTTACTCTCAGCGGTTTTTTTGGTGTGGTTTTTTTGGGTTGGTTTTTTTTTTTTTTAGTAGTTTTACTTTTTGCTCATTTTATCAGGTATTCAAGGGTAATAATTTTTTATGGAAGTTTCAACTGGCTTTTTTTTTTTTTTTTTTTTTTGAGACAGGGTCTCACTCTGTCACCCAGGCTGGAGTGCAGTGGAGTGATCACACCTCACTGCAACCTCCACCTCCCAGGCTCAAGTGATCCTCCCACCTCAGCCTCCCAAGTAGCTGGGACTATAGGCGTGCACCATCATGCCTGGCTAATTTTTGTATTTTTTGTAGAGATGGGGTTGTACTGTGTTACCCAGGCTGGTCTCGAATGCCTAGGCTCAAGCAATCAGCCTGCCTCAGCCTCCCGAAGTGCTGGGATGACAGGCACAAGCTACCATGCCCAGCTTCAATTGGCCATCTTAGCTCAGGGGAATACAATTAAGTCTGTTATTGGCCAGGCTCGGTGGCTCACACCTGTAATCCCGGCACTCTGGGAGGCTGAGGCAGGTGGATCACCTGAGGTCAGGAGTTTGAGACCAGCCTGGCCAACATGGTGAAACTCCGGCTCTACTAATAATACAAAAATTAGCCAGGCATGGTAGCAGGCACCGGTAATCCCAGCTACTCAGGAGGGTGAGGCGGGAAAATGGCTTGAACCTGGGAAGCAGAGGTTACAGTGAGCCAAATATCATGCCATTGCACTCCAGCCTGGGCAACAAGAGTGAAATCTGTCTCTTATACACATCTAGATGTGTATAAGAGACAGTGATTCTCCTGCCTCAGCCTCCCAAGTAGCTGGGATTACAGGCGCCCGCCACCATGTCCAGCTAATTTTTGTATTTTTAGTAGAGACAGGGTTTCACCGTGTTAGCCAGGGTGGTCTCGGTCTCCTGACCTCACGATCCACCCACCCGCCTCGGCCTCCCAGAGTGCTGGGATTACAGACGTGAGCCACCGCGCCCGGCCCATGACAACATTCTTGCGTCATCCTTCTTCCCATTCTTGCCACCAAGTAGGGTGCCTGACACAGTGGGGCTCAATAGGCCGTGGGCACAGCAGATGATAAGACTTAAGGATGACGAAGGAACTGAGAGCCCTCAGCTCTCTGTAGGACCACCTTTGACCAGGGAAAGTAGGGTACGAACCTGTACAGGCATGCCCAGATCTAGCTTCAGCCCAAAACAAGGGTCAATGAAGATGGTGAGGATGGATTCTGTAGGGTCCTGGGCAAAGTGTTCCAGAATGGCATCATGCTCCTGTGTCCACACTGCATCCGCCAGTCCTGTCAGCGCAGCTCGGGAAAGGAAGAGGGGCTTCTATAGAAGGAGAGCAGACAGAGGACCAAAGTAACTACGCCTGCCAGGATGAGTCATTCCTCCCATCCACAATCACAAGTGAGGACATGGGAGATGAGAGAAGCCAGACAGGTTCAGAATGGTGAGGAGAAACTGAACGATAGTTTTCAAGCTTTGAAAGAAACGGAACAATAAGATGTCTTGCCTCTAAGCATTAAAAAAAAAAAAAAAAACAGATCGTAGAGGAAGACTGGGATATTATCCTCCCAGTGCAAGAGATTATCTTTATGCCTGTGGTTTTTAAAAATGTCAGCCCTTGATCTCAAAGGTAAAAGTGAATTAAGGGAATGTGTAGGATATTAGCCTACATCAAGCAATTAGGAGCAGCGAGACCACAAGCTGGAAAAGGGAAAGGGTACAGGAGCAATTTCTTCACAATGGATTCCAAAAGAAGTGTAAAATACTGGGTAAAAGTCAGTTGGTTCAGCAGTAAGGAAAAAGTGAGGAGGTGAAAAAGACATGAAAACACCAAAGAAGGCCGGGCAGAGGGGCTCACGCCTGTAATCCCAGCACTTTGGGAGGCTGAGGCGGGTGGATCATCTGAAGTCAGGAGTTCAAGACCAGCCTGGCCAACATGGTGAAACCCCGTCTCTACTAAAAAAAAAAATACAAAATTAGCCGGGCATGGTGGTGCATGCCTGTAATCCCAGCTACTCAGGAGGCTGAGGCAGGAGAATTGCTTGAACCCAGGAGGCGGA